ACAGCAAGTCCCATCATCCCCACAAACTGCACTTTTTTTTTTTTTTGAGAATGCCATGCCTGATGCTTTTAAAAACACATTTTGTGCCCTATATTAAACTGCTTGCAATGCACTTATCTCACAGGCACGTTCATCATTCACAATATAGCTTTCTTTTGACTGCAATTCCTATCAGCCAAGAAAATTGCAGTGGTTTTCAGAAGGGCACACGAGATGTTTTTGTAAATGTTTTGTGACCCTTATTGCTCACCATGCACTACTCTCACACTTACAGCCAACCTTTACTGCAAATCTTTTGTGAGGACTATAAATCCCATTATCCTTTCCATGCCAGCACTCAGCAGTCGGTTTTAGTGAGGCCCTCGTGATGCTGTTATGACCTGGTGGGGGTGCCCTGTGTACAGTTTTTTTTTTTTTTTTGGGGGGGGGGGGGGGGATCCAGCCCCCTGAGCTCAGTCCCAGGAAGCAGCCAGGTAGGGGGCGCTCTAGGCGGTGAAATACGGTAAGAGGAGCTGGGTGGTGCGCGCTGCTTCGGTCATTACGGTAAGCTGGCAGTCGATATGTGATATCGGTGTGGACCCGGGCACAGCGAGCTGAGTGTGAGTGACTGCAGGTGAGTGAGAGCATGGAGGGGCCCCACTGCCCACGTGTTACTCAGTGCGGGGGGGGGGGTCATTAGTTTTCAACTGTTTGTTATTTCTGTTTTAACCCAAACATAAACTCTGTGTTCCAAACTGCAGGTTTGAGGGTTCTGTCTGTGTATTTCTTCCTCTCCCTGGCTGCAGGTTTAGGGGTACTGTCTGTCTCTCCCTGGCTGCAGGTTTAGGGGTACTGTCTGTCTCTCCCTGGCTGCAGGTTTAGGGGTACTGTCTGTCTCTCCCTGGCTGCAGGTTTAGGGGTACTGTCTGTCTCTCCCTGGCTGCAGGTTTAGGGGTACTGTCTGTCTCTCCCTGGCTGCAGGTTTGGGGGTACTGTCTGTCTCTCCCTGGCTGCAGGTTTGGGGGTACTGTCTGTCTCTCCCTGGCTGCAGGTTTAGGGGTACTGTCTGTCTCTCCCTGGCTGCAGGTTTAGGGGTACTGTCTGTCTCTCCCTGGCTGCAGGTTTAGGGGTACTGTCTGTCTCTCCCTGGCTGCAGGTTTAGGGGTACTGTCTGTCTCTCCCTGGCTGCAGGTTTAGGGGTACTGTCTGTCTCTCCCTGGCTGCAGGTTTAGGGGTACTGTCTGTCTCTCCCTGGCTGCAGGTTTAGGGGTACTGTCTGTCTCTCCCTGGCTGCAGGTTTAGGGGTACTGTCTGTCTCTCCCTGGCTGCAGGTTTAGGGGTACTGTCTGTCTCTCCCTGGCTGCAGGTTTGGGGGTACTGTCTGTCTCTCCCTGGCTGCAGGTTTAGGGGTACTGTCTGTCTCTCCCTGGCTGCAGGTTTAGGGGTACTGTCTGTCTCTCCCTGGCTGCAGGTTTAGGGGTACTGTCTGTCTCTCCCTGGCTGCAGGTTTAGGGGTACTGTCTGTCTCTCCCTGGCTGCAGGTTTAGGGGTACTGTCTGTCTCTCCCTGGCTGCAGGTTTAGGGGTACTGTCTGTCTCTCCCTGGCTGCAGGTTTAGGGGTTCTCTCTCGGTTTGGGGATAATGTCTGTCCCTGGCTGTAGGTTTGGGGGTTCTCTCTCTCTCTCTCTCGGTTTGGGGATAATGTCTGTCCCTGGCTGTAGGTTTGGGGGTTCTCTCTCTCTCTCGGTTTGGGGATAATGTCTGTCCCTGGCTGTAGGTTTGGGGGTTCTCTCTCTCTCTCTCCAGGTTTGGGGATAATGTCTGTCCCTGGCTGTAGGTTTGGGGGTTCTCTCTCTCTCTCTCCAGGTTTGGGGATAATGTCTGTCCCTGGCTGTAGGTTTGGGGGTTCTCTCTCTCTCTCTCCAGGTTTGGGGATACTGTCGGTCTGTCCCTGGCTGTAGGTTTGGGGATCTCTCTCTCTCTCTCTCTCTCTCTCTCGTACTGTCAGTCTGTCTCTCTCTCTCTCTCTCGTACTGTCAGTCTGTCTCTCTCTCTCTCTCTCGTACTGTCAGTCTGTCTCTCTCTCTCGTACTGTCAGTCTGTCTCTCACTGTGTGCAGGTTTTTTTTTTTTTTTTTTTTCTCTCTCCCTGTGTGCAGATTT